TTGACACACAGGAGGGGAGAGGGCTCCAGAAATAATAGCCTCCATCCTCTTGTTTATTTTCTAATTAGAAGGCATTTTCTGAGGCAAGGTACCTCCATCAGCCCTTATCAGCCCCAGGTGTCATCAGTGACATTTTCACTGTACTTTGTGCCCATTAAAGGCCTTCCCTGCCAGTGTGAACACTCTCTCTTGTCTGCCGACATTAGTGGGTCCCACAGGCAGCTGTTATTAGAATGTAAGAAAGGAATTAAAAGTATTTGGATGTTGGGGCGCCTGGGTGGCTCAGCCAGTTAAACATCTGCCTTCGGCTCAGGTCATGATCCCAGGGTCCTGGGATGGAGCCCCACATTAGGCTCCCTGCTCTGTGGGGAATCTGTTTCTCCCTCTCCCTCTGCCTGCCACTTCCCTACTTGTTCTCTCTCTGCCAGATAATAAATAAAATCTTAAAAAAATAAAGTAAAAATAAATAAATAAATAAATAAAGTAGTTGGATGGTACTCCCATGTTCATAGCAGCATCATTCACAATGGCTAAAACATGGAAGCAGCCCAAGTGTTCATCAACAGATGAACGGATAGGCAAAATGTGGTATATACATATAATGGAATATTATTCAGCCTTTAAAAAGGAGGAAATTCTGACTTATGCTACGATATGGATGAACCTTAAGAATATTATGCTAAATGAAATAAGCCAGTCACAAAAAGATAAATACTGTATAACTCTACTTCTGAGGTACTCAGAGTACTCAAAATTATAGAGACAGAAGGTAGAATAGTGGTTGCCAGAAGCTGGGGAGAGGGAATACAAAGTTGTTTAACGGACATAGAATTTCAGTTTTACAAGATGAAAAATAGTTATGGGGGTGCCTGGGTGGCTCAGTCGGTTAAGCGTCTGCCTTTGGCTCAGGTCATGATCTCAGGGTCCTGGGATCGAGCCGTGTGCATCGGGCTCCCTGCTCAGCAGGGAGCCTGCTTCTCCTTGTCCTGTGCAGCTCCCCCAGCTTGTGCTCTCTTGCTCTGTCAAATAAATAAAATTTTTAAAAAAAAAAAAAAAAGATGAAAAATAGTTATGGGGATGGATTGTGGTGATGTTTACACATTATGAAACTAATTAATACCACTGAACCATACACTTAAAAATGGTTAAGATGGTAAATTTTACCACAATAAAAAAGAAACTAGAAAAATAAGTTCTTTGGACTAACAGTTGACTAAACCTGACCACTTCCAGCCTCAATGTGAGGGTTAATCGTATAATTACAACTCGGGGCATCAAGTTCTTGCTATGGTTCCAAATAAAATGCTATCTGAAAAGTCCTTGTCAGATCCTTCTATGTCCCATAATGTGACACAAAGGAGCATCTCGTGCAGCTCCACCACCCTCCATTTAATAAAGACAACAAGAATGCTGGCTGTCTCCCTGACATCACCAGTATGGCACAGATGGCTGGACCTCAGAGGGATCTATGGAACCATTCCAGGCCCACTCACAGTCTGACTTGTGCATGTGCTCAGTAGTATTTGCATGAAAATGAACTTCACTTCCCACAGCAATTCCCCACATAAAACAAAAAAATTTTCTGAAGATTCAAAGGACATTCTAAAAACTGGATTCTATAAGGCTAGTTCCACAACACTGCAGGAATCCAAAGTTTAGGACAAATTGGGAAACTGCAAATAAAAATTTACAAATCTCCCCCACCCAAGAAAATGCTTTGTTATACTTTTTTGTACTTAAAATATTGAGCCATCTCAAAATCATTTTCAGTCCAATACCCAAAATCAACTGGTCCAAAGGCATTCTGAGATGAGTACTACAAGATGTGGTACAAATGATTCTTAAAAAACATTTACAGCAGGGGTGCCTGGGTGGCTCAGCCAGTTAAGCGTCTGCCTTCGGCTCCAGTCATGATCCCAGGGTCCTGGGATCGAGCCCTGCGTCAGGCTCCCTGCTCGGCGGAGAGCCTGCTTCTCCCTCTCCCGCTGCAGCTCCTCTGCCTGTGTTCTCTCTCTGTCAAATAAATAAAATCTTAAAAAAAAAAAAAAAACAGCATTTACAGCAATAAAACTCAAATGCACCAGAAGCTGGGGAGGGGGGTGGTAGAAATAGGGAGTTGTTCAATGGGTACAGAGTTTTAGTTTTGCAAGATAAAAAAGTCCTAGTGTAAATATAGTTAACATCACTGAACATACACTTAAAAATGGTTAAGAGGGTAAGTTTTATATTATGTGTTTTTATTACTACAATTAAAAAGAAACAGTCACAGGGGGACCTTGGTGGCGCAGTTGGTTAAGCTTCCAACTCTTGGTTCAGCGTCCAACTCTTGGTTTCAGCTCAGGTTGTGATCTCTGGGTCCTGAGATCAAGCCCCACCTCCAGCTCCAAACTCGGCAGGGTCTGCTTAAGACTCTCTCCCTCTTCTTCTAACCCTCCCTCCCACCATGTGCTCTCACGCGTGTGCTCTTTCTCAAGTAAATAAATAAATCTTTAAAAAAAGTCACAGAAGTTAGTGCCCCAGCAGTCATACTGATGCAAAAATATTTCAGAACAACTAACTTCTACTGTCCAATACTAACCCCTAAAATTCCTTTTGTCCCAACTAAAAAAATAAATAAAGTGGACACATCTCGCTGGTAGAACATGGAAGCTTCTCTAACTACAATAAAGCTGAGGGAGCATGTTAAGGAAATAAGAAGACAATACAAATACTAAGCAATGGTAGAAATACAAAGCAGATTATTTAAAACCAATCTGTGTCATCCCCATCTGCAATCCAGCCTAAGTCTCTAAGTAAAACTGTATAGAGACTTCTCCTTGTTCCAAAAATAAAGAAAAACTCCTCAACCTGCTTACAAGGCCCACCACACCTCTCCAACCCCCTCTCCCACCAGATTCAACACTCGTCCTGTTCTCTACATAGAGCTGTACCCTAAATCCCCAGTCCTCCCCATGAACCCCACCATCTTTGCCCTTGCTGTTTGCTCTGACTGGAACACTCTTCCTTTCCCGTGCATCCTTCAGATCTTAGTTCAAATGTCTTTCCAGTGACTTCCCTAAATCAAATAGTGTCACTGTTGCAGTTTTACATTCATGTGATTATTTGGTATCATCTGCTAAAGACAGGGGCCAGAGATGCATTCACTCACCCCCCCAATTTCCAAGGCCAAACACGGTGTACCCAATAAGCAGTCAAATATTTGTTGAACAAGTGAATATAGGGCACTAAACCTATAAGAAAGCAATGAAACATCCTAAGAGGTTTCCTTAATGAATCTTTGGAGGATGTCCAAATCAATTAAGCCTAAAATCCCTATTCAACTCTTAAGAAAAAAAACAAAACATTTCTCTGGCCCTTCTATGTCCCTAGGCAAATGTTGAGCATCAAAGGCTGATAAGTAAAACACACAAATACACACACACATCGTAGATAAAGCAGAATTACTACTTGCTGAGCAAATTGTTTTTGGCATTTCTTGATACAATGCCTGCTACATAGGGGGCACTCTGGAATACCTGTCAAATGAATAAAGAGCAACATTTCACAAGACTCGTAAGTATATATGAACTAGTAACTAACTCTACTGAAAACTGTGGTGACTCATATAAAAGTAAGACCGTCACAGAAGCAAAGGAATGAATCTCTTAAGTGGGAAAGCCCCCTACTATAAGCCATATTTATTTAGATCTCAAACAAGAAAAATGCCAGATTTGTACTAAGAGTGAAAGAAATAGATACTGCAATCAAGTAATCGTAGAGCTTTAAATAAAAACTACAAAATGTCACTTGGAACTATTTCCCAAAACCCTTAAAAACATAAGAAACTATTTAGGATTCCCTGTCCCCTCCAACACAAATACAAACTATCTATACTTTAGAGATATAATCCATAAACATAATACAGAAAACTCCAGCCCACACTGATCTCTCCTCCCTCTGATTTTGCATTTAAACAAATGCTGCTTTATAGTTTTCCCAATAATAACAATCTATACACTCTTATTTTATATCCTTTCACATAATATAACACAGTGGGTGCCTATTAAATACTTACTGAACTGATACGAAATTATACTGCGTTAAATAATGGATTTTGGTACAGAAATTCCTGCAAATGTCATTCCTGAAGATTTTTCATATGCCTCAGTTTTAGCTTCATCATTAGATTAAATATAAAGTCGTTATCCAACAATGTTCAAACAAGGTTTAGAGTTTTCTTAGTACCACATCTACAAACTCAATTAAGGGAGGTTTTCAGTGTCATGGTATCTTTTCAAATGTAAGTCAAAGATATTAACAACACCTGTCCCTACTTTCTTCAACGTAGCAAATTTCTCTTGAAATTTTTCCCAAACTTAATCAGTCCCAGGGAGAGTTCCTCCTGTAGAAAATTGGAAGACACAAAATCTAAGCTACATGATACTAACCGCACATCGCTAAAAATAGAAAACCTAATCCCCGGAAAAGGATCAGTTCAAAATGTTCAATTACATGAGTCTCCACGATCAACAAAGCAGATAAAATACACCACTCTGGAAAGCGCAAAGCAGCAAGCAAACAGCAAGTATTCTAGTTAAGTGGCTGCTGTTCAAAGCTGCTCAAACGCTCCATCCCTGCCAGTCCCAAGCATCTGTATCAGGACCCATGAGAACGCGTCCACAGGGGACCCGAGCCTCGGGAAGCGTCCTCTCTACAGCACCAGGCTCTGTTTAATTCGGGTTTTCCTATCCGCGCCCCTAAGAGGGCTACAAGGGGGAGGCCGGGGGGCCGGGCGCGAGGAGCCGAGCCTGGCAGGCCGGGTCGGCGGAGAGCTGGGGGCTTGTGGTGGGCAGGGGCGACGGCGGAGTCGGGCAGCGGTGCCAGAAGTAGAGGGCGCTCGCCCGGGGCCGCTGCCGCAGGTGCCCCGCTAAGAGCTGCGGAGACCCGGCAGGCCAGACCCGGGGCCGGTCCAGGAAAGGGGTCGAGGGGAGGCGCGCGGGACGGGGGCGGGGAGGCCTCACCGTTGCTCCCGAGAGGCTGGCGCCGCGGCGGTCCCGCAGTTGCTAAGGAGAATGCTCTTCCGGGTCAGGGGCGCGGCGGTATAGAGAGCAACGGTGGCCGGAAGGGGCCAAGAGCGACGCGCGCAGCAAGAGCGCGGCGGAGGCGGTGGTCGGCGGTTGTGCGGCTGCAGGGGGTGGGGCGGCTGGCAGGGGCTGGCGAAGGGCCAACGCGACTTCCCGGGCCTCGCCTCGCGGGGGCGATGGGCTGTAGCCGGTGGCTCTAGCGAGGCCACCTCTTAGAAGCCTTCCCGCCTCAGTCCCCTGCTCCGGAACCCGCCCAGCTCGGGTTCTAGGCCCCCGGCTGTAGCCACGCCGGCCCCTTCCTGGGACAGGGTTTTACTCATTTTTTCATTTAGTAGACACTGGGTTGTTGGACACCTGCCAGCAGGGCTGGCACTGGAGATGCAGAGAGGGGCGATCCAGGCGTGGTCCCTACCCTCAGAATGCACAGACTGATGGGAGGGCAGGCGGAGGGGTGCTGCTCACCTGGGTGGGCTAAGTAAAGGCAGTGGGGCCTACCCAGACGCGGGTGGGGAAAAGCGGATGGTGGAGACTTCAAGCAAGAAAAAGAGTAGGGAGGAGTGTTTCAGGTAAGAAAGAAAGTAGGCTCGGTTGAGAAACCCACTGAAAGGTCAGTGTGCCCTGCCCAGGGAAGTGGGTAGAGAAGGATGGAACCTAAGAAAACATCAACATTGTAGGTGTGAACAAAGGAAAAGGAACCTCCAAAGAGCAGTCAGAATGTTCGGTTGAAGGACTGCTGAGAAGACAGCAGGAGAGGAAAGAATTCCAGTAAGGTCGTGGTCACCACTGTCATGATGTGGCCATCAAGGGCCTAGTGGTGACCATAAAAAATCAAAATTCAGGAATATGGTGTCAATATCGACAGTGGCTTGAATCTGTGTAGTGAAGGAGTCCACCACCATATGCTCCATATTCAAACAAGGAAAAGAGATAGGTTAAATTGTTCCTGAATGCCTTAATGTTTTTGAAAGTATTTGTAAATTTCAGGATTCCTCTACTAATTTTTTTTTTTTTAAGATTTCTTTATTTTAGGGGCGCCTGGGTGGCTCAGTTGGTTAAGCGACTGCCTTCGGCTCAGGTCATGATCCTGGAGTCCCGGGATCGAGTCCTTCATCAGGCTCCTTGCTCGGCAGGGAGTCTGCTTCTCCCTCTGACCCTCCTCCCTCTCATGCTCTCTGTCTCTCATTCTCTCTGTCTCAAATAAATAAAAATAAAAATAAAAAAAATAAAAAGATTTCTTTATTTTAGGGACACCTGGGTGGGTGGCTCAGCCCATTAAGCATCTGCCTTCAGCTCAGGTCATGATCCCAGGGTTCTGGGATTGAGTCCCACCCACATCAGGCTCCTCTACCTGCTGCTCCCATGCTTGTGCTTTCTCTCTCTCTCTAACAAATAAATAAAATCTTTAAAAAATAATAAAAAAAAGGTTTCTTTATTTGAGAGAGAGAGAGAGTACGTGTGCAGGAGGGGGGACAGAAGGAGAGGAAGAGAATCTCAAGCAGATTCCCTGCTAAGCCTGGAGCCCAGCACTGGGCTCAATCCCATGACCCTGAGACCATGACCTGAGCTTGAAATCAAGAGTCAAACGCTTAACGACTGAACCACCCAGGCACCCCTCTACTAATTCTTGAATGTGGAAAATAATTTGTTTTATCTTGCATCTACGGTGCTTGCCTCACACAAAGGCCTCAATCGGTGTTTGTTTAAAGAATAAATGAACCCATGAGTCTTTTTTTTTTTTAAGATTTATGTATTTGAGAGAGGGAGAGAGAGAACGTGAGTGGAGGGGGTGGAGGGGGTTAGAGGGAGAATGAGAGAGAATCCTCAAGCAGACCCGCGCGCCACCCACTGTGCGTGGAGCCTGACCCAGGGCTTGATCCCAGGACCCTGAGATCATGACCTCAGCCAAAATCAAGAGTTGGAAGCTTAACCAACTGAACCACCCAGGCACCCTGAGCCTTTGGTTTTTAATGTTCACACAGGTCAGAATCCTCCGCAAAACTGTGATGTAGGCAAAATTGTCTATTCAAACTGTAGATGAGATGGAAGAAGCCCAGCAGGGGCAGGACGCAGAAGATGGCAAAGGTACAGTGATCCAATGGGTGGGAGAGGGCCCAATGGGGCCAGGGATGGGAAGACCCAGAAAAGGAAAAGAACAAAGGATTAATAACATAAAAACTGGGGTTTCAGAGCCAGAAATGGAAGATGAAGCCAAGAAAATTATTAATGCGGCCTACTTTCTATTAATTTTATTAATATAAAAATATAAAAATATTAGAAGCAGGAATAGATGAGCAAGGACAAGAGCAAAGGAAAGACAATCATTGTACATAAGTTCAATAGGAAAATCCCATTTGGGGACGGCTGACAAAATTTGGTGTCAGCCAGTGTGAAGGCTTCAGGGCTGGGTGACGTGTTCCCGTATCATCTAAGTAGAGTGAGCTCTGGGCTTCCTCATGTGGGCCAAAGGAAAACCACAACTGTAGAGTCACACTGTAGAGTGACTTGGGGTGAGAGGCTTGCCCCACAAGCATACCTCCAGTCCAGAACCAGTACATTCCCATTATATCCAGTTATTACAACAAGCTCATCCAGAAGAGGCATAGTCTTCTCTAAGACACTGTAAATCTATCGACAATGGATGTAACCAGCCATCTGTGGGAGTAAACCAAGAAATTTGAAATGTGTGGCTGAAAAGTTTAAAACACCCAAAATATCAGCCAAGGGAGCCTAGGTATAACATAAGCAAGGCAGGACCAGAAAATGGTTACAATTTGATAAAAGGAAGCTAAATCAATTGTTCTGTGAACAGAAGGGACAAAGTCAACTTGTGATATAGACAAAAAGAAGCCCCAAATCCTTAAAGTACAATAGATAAAAGTCTACCCTGCATGTTCCTGGCAGCCTTGAATAGAGCATCAATTCTAATGAACCGTGTTCTGTTGAAGGGCCAAGGTGATTCATTAGGCTCAACTTGGCTGGGGTTCCAGGAGATTTCAGTGCTATCTCAAGAGATGGAAACTTATCATTGCTGTGAAGAGCATATTTTTAGAGAACTGCAGGGAGTTGTGGGTGAACTCTGTACTTCCAGGATGGTGTGGGCATGAAAGGTTCCAGATGATGTGCTTTGTCTGACTTTGGTCTCTTTGGATAATGGATAGCCAATTAATGATGCAAAATGCTTTGAGGAATGCCCAGAATATAAACAGAGGACCAGGGTTACCATGCCCTGTTGGTATAAACAGTGAGCCATCTGCTACCTCCAGAAGAATTCCATTTTGGCATTGGGAGGGAGTGTGTCTATTATGAAATTCAAGCCTTCCTGGGAATTTAAGGATTAGAGACAGCTATCGTGCCCCAGAGTTTTCCAGGTCCAGCCTGACCCTGATTCCTAACCACCACCACCCCTAACTCGGTGTTCTCCTATACTAACATCACCCGGTCACAGAGGCAGAAACCCAGACACGTAGGAGACATCCGTGACTCCTGCACTCCCCACCCCTCCACCACACCCTCACCCTTACAGCCCGGTCCAAGAACAAGTCCTGTAGATCGTCTCATCCCTCCCCACCCAATCCCACTACTACTAATTATGCTGAAAGGAGCAAATAACCAAGCAAATCAGGATCAGTAGGAAGTGTTAGAACATCAGAATTGAAGCTGGGTGATAAAGATGGTGTGTGTGAGAGAGAGAAAACAAACAGCATAGTAACCAAACGCCACAAGAACTTCAAGGAAATGCAGTGGAACAAATCCATTCAACAACAACATGTTTGATTGCCTTTCACATGTGAATTTCATCTTGAAGGAAGTAAAAGATAACAAAAGGACTATTAAATATGTTGAAGAAAAACTAAGGTAGAATTGAACATATTCCAAGAACCAAAGTGCAGGAGTGTTTGCTGGCCTAGGGGTATGACTTTGGAAGGACCCAGTCAGCTGTGGGATGGAGTCAAGTGCCATGAGCCTCATCCTTACGTGTGCAGGCTGATAGTGCTGCTGGCTGAGTGTTATGGGTGAGCAAAAAATATGTCTCATCATCGCCATATCAATTGATTTTGGCCTCCTCAATTCCAGCAATTAGCCCCACCCAGACCACTATTTCCCACTTGGAATTCTTGTCTGATTAGAGTCTGTTTTTGTTCTTGTCTCACTTTAAACTTAGTTTTTTTTAAACTTAGTTTTTCTTTTCCCTCTATCTTTATGAGTATTATTTTTCTCTTAGCTGTTTAAATATAAATCCTTCTAGATCCTCCACAACTTTTGCCTCATAGATCTTAGCCCTTATCTTAATTTCTCTTTTACCTTCTATCTCCTATTTAAAATCTTGTCTTTTTGAATACTTCTAACTGCTCATTTTATCAAGATCTATCAACATGTTATTCTTAATTTTTTAGATTTTTTTTATTTTCTAGTTCTTTGCTCTTTTGTTTCTTTTATTTTCTATTTAACATATGCTACTTCAAGTATGAATTTTAGAAACTTGTCATTTACAATGTTATTCTTTCTAAGTTTTTATTCCCACATCTTTGGCTTTAAATTTACCTTAATTTTTATTTATTATTATTTTTTTAAAGATTTTATTTATTTGAGAGCGAGAGTGAGAGAGAGAGAGAGAGCACGAGAGGGGGAGGGTCAGAGGGAGAAGCAGACTCCCTGCCGAGCAGGGAGCCCGATGTGGGACTCGATCCCGGGACTCCAGGATCATGACCTGAGCCGAAGGCAGTCGCTTAACCAACTGAGCCACCCAGGCGCCCAAGAAAAGTAGTTTTTAATTAGAACAAATATAAAGAAATGAGCACAGTCTGTTTTTTGTTGGGTAAGGGAAAACATAGTAGAACACTAGGAAATTGGGTTGTTCAGAAAATCGTGAGAACATCTCATCTCACTTAAATGAATGAAAAAACATGGCCTCCAATAGAAATCCTAAATTAAGCTAAAGAGAAAACAAAGAATTTTATTAACTGAGAAAAATACAGAATAACACAATTACAACAATTATAAGATTACATGTAAATGGACTAAATTCTCCTATTTAAAAAACAGCATCATAGACTGGATTAAAAAGACAAAATCCACACCTATGAATCTTTTTAAAAAAAATACATTTAAAGAAAGGGGAGATAGAATAATTTAAGAGCCTGGCTCAGGTAAATCATGCTTGCATGAAAGCAGGTATAGCGGGTCCCAGCTTGACTGATTAAGTTATGTTCATCCCAGGATTCTGGCATACCTGGGCATGCCCAGAACACCCGTGGCAGGACCCACTGGAGGTCTGTTTTCATGAGAAGACAGCATCCTAGGAAAGAATCCCTTCTTCAGGCAAGGCCAAAGAGAAGCCCAAGGATAACAGGTCAGTATGATGCAGTGTAAGCTGCAGGGGAGGGTGTGCATACAATAAAGCTGTCTGGCCTAAGGCAGCCCTGCTCTGTAGCTTTTCAACAGAACGGGGCACCAGCAGGGGAAGGGTGCTGTTGGAGCATGTTGGCGTTAACTCTCCACAATGCTCCATTCATTGGCCCCAAACACAGGCTCTGCCCCAGCCCCACTGAGAGATCATGGGCAAGTCCCTGCACCTCGGGGGCCTCCATTACTTCCACAGAAGGAGGCAATTGGAGGAACTGATCCAAAGAGGAAAAATTGGGAAATAGGGAGCTTTCTCAAGTGCACATTAAGCCTTCACAAACAATTAATTGCAATTTTCAAGATAAAGATATTCACAATAGGTAGACAAAGATTTTACACATGCTTTCTCGGACTTCCATAAAATAAAGTTGAAGAGAAAGCCAATATTCTACCTATATGCACACGACCATGCAAGAATGGAAGAAAGACTCTGTGATGGAATAATTGAGTTAAAAAGGCAACACCAAATATGGGGACATTACATTAAAGACAAAGAAAAAAAGATACCATTTACACAGTTAAAGCTGTCAGTGAACTTTTGTATCTCTCCTGCCTATGCTAATAAGAAGGAAAAAGAAAAAAATAATTAACTCTATACTTAAATTTTTTAAAGATTTAGGTAACAAATTTAAAGGGGAAAATCAAAAAATTTGAAACAAATAAATTAGAAAATAAGAGGGTATCTGCTTAATATGCAAAACTGAGAAGAAATTAACTAATAAAATATTTGCAGACTGTTAGGATAACCAACTAAATACCCAAGAGAATATAAGAGAAACAAAATGCAAAAACTATAAACACAAAAAAAGTTTCAATTATTAGGAAATATTATTCAAAGTTAAACTCTAATAAGTTTTAAATATTAAAGGGAGTTAACAATTTTGAATACAACTTACACAAGAAGAAAAGAGAACTCAGGTAAAAGGAAAAGATTAGCTAAAGGAAAAGTTTATTGTAGAATGGAAAATTTATTGTAGAATGAATCAGTGAATTCTTTTAAAAAAGGCACCTAGAGTTGATAATGTTGTCATTAACACTTTCAATATCAAATAAAAACCAAATTCATTTCATGAGGCAAATATGGTTATTTCCCTCCTACTTGTAAAGATAAAAATCATAATACTGAAAAAAGTTTCAAAAAAATTCATACATAATTTTACTACTTGTGCACAATTATTTTTATTTTGTTCTATTTTTCAGGACTAGTGCTAGATACTCCCGCATAGTTGCAGAATGTGTAACTATCTTACATCCCTTCTTTTATAAATTGTAACTTAGTATGGTCCATGTTTATTGTAGAGTTTTCTTTTATCTTACGCTATTACATAAATTATAAATGTTAATTGGAAATAACTTAGCTAATACATTTGATTATGAAGAAGCAACTAAAAATGTATGCTTGATTCCACCACCCAGAAATAGACAGATAGACATATAGATAGACATTTGGGTTTGGCTTGGAATATACTTTTCTGAAATTTTTAAGATGAGATATACAGTTGACCCTTGAACAATGCAGGGGTTGGGGCACTAATCCCCCAGACAGTTGAAAATCTGCATATAACTTTTTTTTAATTTATTTATTTATTTGACAGAGAGAGACACAGTGAGAGAGGGGAACATAAGCAGGGGGAGTGGGAGAGGGAGAAGCAGGCTTCCCGCCGAGCAGGGAGCCCGATGCAGGGCTGATCCCAGGACCCTGGAATCATGACCTGAGCCGAAGGCAGACGCTCAACGACTGAGCCACCCAGGCGCCCCTGCATATAACCAAATGTTCCTGCTAATAGCCTACTGTTAACTGGAAGCCTTACCAATAACATAAACACTCAATTAACACATATTTTATATGTTGTATGCATTATATACTGTATTCTTACAATAAAGTAAGCTAGAGGGAAAAAGTTACTAAGAAAATGATAAAATACATTTACAATACATACAGTGCTACATTTATAGAAAAAAAGCTGCATATAAGTGGACCCACACAGTTCAAACCCATGTGGTTCAAATGTCAACTGTGTAATTCAAATAACATCTAATTCACCATTTTAAAATGTACAGTTCAGTGATTTATAGTATATTCACAATGTTTTCCAATCATTACCACAATCAATTTAGAACATTTCATCACACCAAAAAGAAAGCCCATACCCATTAGCTGTCATTTCCCTCCCATCCTCCCAGACCTAGGCAACTACCAATTTTCTGTCTCTATGGATTTCCCTATCCTGGACATTTCATATAAGAGGAATGTGGCTTGGTCCTTGTGACTGGCTTCTCTCACTTAGCATGTTTTCAAGGTTCGTCCATATTGTAGCATGAATCAGTACTTCATTCCTTTTTATGGATAACTAATATTCCACTGTATGTATATCCACATTCTGTTTATCTCTTCATCAGTTGATAAACATTTGGGGTGTTTACACTTTTTGGCCATTATGAATAATGCTGCTAGGAACATTCAAGTATAAGTTTTTGCATAAATATATGTTTTCAATTCTTTCGGGTATACACATAGACATGGAATTGCTGGGTCATATGGGCCAGGTTATGTGGTAACTACACCATTTTAAATTCCCACCAGCAATGGACGAGGGTTCAGATTTCTGCACAACCTTGATGTCATTTGTTATTTCCATTTTTTTTATTACAGCCATTTTAGTAGAGTGATATCTAGTAAAGTGGTATCTCCTTGAAATTTTAATTTGCATTTCCCTAATAACTAGTGATGGTGAGCATCTTTTCATGTACTTATTGACCTTTTTTGTATCTTTTTGGAGAAATGTCTGTTCAAGTCTGTCACCCTTTTTTTTAATTGGCTTGCCTTTTTATTGTTGAATTATAAGAATTCTTTATGTTTTCTGGATGCGAGGCCCTTATCAAGTATGTGATTTGCAAGTATTTTCTCCCATGTTGTGGGTTGTATTTTTACTATCTTAATAATATCCTCCAGTGCAATAAAAAAGTTTTAATTTTGATGAAGTCCAAATTATCTATTTTTCTTTGGTTGCTTGTGCTGTAGGTGTCGTATCTATGAAACTTCTGCCTAATCCAAGGTCACAAAGATTTATGCCTATGTTTTTTCCTGTTTTAGCTCTTACATTTAAATCTTTTATATATTTTGGGATAATTTTTGTATATGGTATGAGGTCCCGGTCTCACTTCACTCTTTTGCCTGTGGTTATCCTGTTGTCCCAGCACCATTTGTTAAAAAGACTATTCTTTTCCCACTGAATGATCTTGGCACCCTTGTCGAAACCAGTTGACCGCAGGCATATGGATTTATTCTGGGCTCTCAGTTTTATCCTATTGATCTATAAGTCTAACTTCATGCCAGTGCCATACTGTCATGATTACTGTAGCTTTTTAGTAAGTTTTGAAATTGAAAAGTCTGAAAAGTTTTGAAATCGAAATGGAATATACTTTGCCATTGTTTTGTAACTTTTTCACTTCAAAAACTTGAAATTATGTATCAGCATGTGGACAAATACAATTCTATATAGTTATTAATTTAAATAAACATTATGAATTTTCCATTAGTTATTTGACCAAAATTACATCATACTGTTAGATACATAATTTCCAATCTTTTATCATAAACAGTGTTAAATAAACATCCATGCAACTAAATCTCTGCACATGCATGAAATTGTTTGCTTTGAAAAAATTATTTTTATTTATTAATTTAAAAGACTGTATAATATTCCATTAAGTTTGTGCACAATAATTGTATTCAGTGTTTAAGCATTTTTTTAATTAAGCAATAATTGTATTCAGTGTTTGATACCATTTTTGTATATTTGGTTAAGCTCCTTTTGGATAATTTCCTTAGACAAGATATACTAACTTGAGATTCCTCAATCAAGCAGTATAAACATTTTTATGACAATTGATATATATCCAATACATACTCCAAATATATGTAATTTTCAAGTTAATGCTGCCCTAAAGCAATTTCACTATAACTTTGTCAGAATTGGGTATTATACTTAAAAAAAAACTATTTTAGTGATTGAAAATAGTGCTTTATGTTTGAACTTCATCTGTATGATTCCTGGTGATGTTTTGACTTCTTTTATATGCTATAAATGTATTTTCTTCTGAATGTATTGTTTTTTCATGACTTTAACCAATCCTCTATCAAAGCCTTCAATCCAATTAATTTGTAGAGTCTTATTAAAGTGCAATAATCACTGTTTTCTGTAATTCTTGCTATAAACAATTTCCTGCCCATTTTGCCTCATTTATTTTTAGTGTACAAGGATGGAACAGCAACCAGGGCATCATGCTGGGCTTAGAATATTTATTTATTTAGAATATTTATTTTGAAAAAAAAAAGGAAAACTGAAGCTAAGCTGATTTTTGATCCTTCAAAAGCGGCCTCTTATTCTGGTGGGAGATAGTAGAACTTGTTATTTGACGTATTTATTCTGAAAAGTAATATACTCATTTAGTGCAAAGAGTAGCCAGTGAAAAAGTGCCCCCCATCCCTGTCCAGCAGCACCCAGTCCCCCTCTTGTTACCAGCTTCCTCTATCCCGACACCCATCATTCACACAATCAACATTTTCATGGTCCCTGCTCTGTGTGACGGTAGTCAGAGACAATGGCTCAGAGAGGCTTGAACCCATCTCTCCCACAGACAGTCCGTGGCCTTGGGCTCGCCACTGGGTCAAGCAGTTTCCTTATCTCGTGCCAAATGTCACCTCTCCGCAAGAGCTCTGCTCAGTCATCCCTCTCAGGTCAGCTTTGTGGTTCTCCTCGCTTCCAATCGGGCCATTTCTCTTTGCTGCCAACCTTGAATCCCCCACCATCTCCTCCCACAGCCAGGAGGCCCATACACAGGCCCAAAATTGCAGTCAGCCAGGAGGTAGAAGCCTGGGGCTTCCCACTGCCTCAGATGGTCCCCAAGAATTCTTTTTTTTTTTAAGATTTTATTTATCTGTTTGTCAGAGAGAGAGATGGAGAGAGCATAAGCAGGGGGAGTGGCAGACAGAGGGAGAAGCAGGCTCCCCACTAAGCAAGGAGCCAGATGCAGGGCCTGATCCCAGGACCCTGGGATCACGACCTGAGCCAAAGGCAGACACCTAACGACTGAGCTACCCAGGTGCCCCATCCCCAAGAATTCTTAACCAAATCCTCACACTTCATGTTCACCAGAATTATCTTGTCAGATGCAGTAAAAACAGTTACATTTTGCTTCCATGTTATGGATGGCAAGTGTTTCACCATGGGGAAGAAGGTTAAGATAAACAATGAACTCATTCACCTTACTCAGGGGTCAATATTTTTGTTCCTCTTGAAGAATAGTCCCTGAACTCTGAAAATATCGGCCAACATCTCTATCAGCAATGCCATCTGTCTGCAGAGGAGAGCAAGTTTGCAGTCGGGTAATACCTATATCCAAACACATATTTCTTTTTCTCTTTTGTTTTTAAATTGTTTTATTTTCATTCCAGTATAGTGAACATACAGTGTTATATTCGTTTCAAATGTACAATATAGTGATTCAACAGTTCTATACATGGCTCAGTGCTCATTAAGATAAGTGTCCTCTTAATCCCCTTCACCTGTTTCATCCGTCCCCCCACCCCCATCTTCCCTCTGGTAACCATCAGTTTGTGCTCTATCGTTAAGAGTCTGGTTTGTTTGTTTGTTTGTTTGTCTCTTTTCTTCTTTGTTCATTTGTTTCTTAAATTCCACATATGAGCGAGATGATATGGTACGTGTCTTTCTCTGAATTATTTCACTTAGCATTATACTCTCTTGCTCCATCCATGTCATTGCAAATGGCAAGATTTCAGTCTTTATTATGGCTAAACAATATCCCATTGTGTACATATATACATACCACACCTTCTTTATCCATTCATCTATGGGTGAACACTTGGGCTGCTTCCATAGTCTGGCTATTGTAAATAATGCTGTTATAAACATAGGGGTGCATGTATCCCTTTGAATTAGTGTTTTCATATTCTTTACTAGTGTGATTACTAGATCACAGGGTAGTTCTACTTTTAATTTTTTGAGGGCCCTCCTTTCCACAAGGTCTGCATCAGTGTGCATTCCCATCAACAGTGCACAAGGGTTCCTTTTTCTCCGTGTCCTTGCTAACGCTTGTTTTTTATGTTGTTGATTTTAGCCATTCTGACAGATGTGAGGTGATATCTCACTGTAGTTTTGATTTGCATTTCCCTGGTGATGAGTGATGTTGAGCATCTCTTCACTGTCTGTTTAAAAAAAAAAAAAAAGGAATCCAATACCATTCATGAGATTGTTTAGCTCTCACCATAATTGTTATTGTTTAAAGACCTCTTTCTTCACACCCACTAGAATGGCTGTAATCAAAAAGACAGATAAGGGACGCCTGGGTGGCTCAGGCGGTTGGGCAGCTGCCTTTGGCTCAGATCCCAGGGTCCTGGGATCGAGCCCCCCGCCCGGCTCCCTGCTCGGCGGGGAGTCTGCTTCTCCCTCTGCCTGCCGCTCCCCCTGCTTGTGTTCCCCCTCTCTCTCTGTCTCTGTCAAATAAATAAATAAAATCTTAAAAAAAAAAACAGATAAAACAAGTGTTGATAATGATGTGGAACAGTCAGAACCTTCACACACTGTTGGTGGGAATG